GGAACATTCTAATAAACAGATGAAGATGACACTCTTGCAGACTGTCTATACACACACACACACACACACACACACACACACACACAACCTTGAGAACGATTACACCAGGGACAAGTACAAAATAAAAACCTTTCACTTGATTATTTCAGGCAAAATAAATCACAGCCCTCATATACACACTCACAACCTCAGAGCAAGAAAAATAGTGATACAATAACATCCACCGTGAGGGCGCAAGCAAACATGTGGCCATAGATAACAGCGCTCCTTGTTACGGAAAAAATGGACACACTGACACACATGCACATTCAAACACACACTCAAATAATGAAACACATACACCCATGCACCTCTGTTGCACTGTGCGCAATAAGTCTTGCTTCATTAAAGCCAAATCTCATCCACTATCAGTTTACAACCACAGAAGTCGTTTGAACCGCCGGGGAAATACAATTCCATTCCATTTCGGGGTTATCTTAATATATGAGCTTGTCTCCGCCACATTGGTCTGCGGTTATGAGCCGGGCAAACACCCCCAGCACCGCAATATTGCACCGGCACATTCACAGGACGGATTTGTGCACACAAAGCAATTAGCAGCTCATATATATATGCATAATTGTGTTTGTGTGTGCGTATGACTCAACTCCCTTGTCTGGTTGTCTAATTTCTACATCCGGTGTTATTAGCAAACAGTTCATTGTGGATTGCAGTTTGTTTGTTTGTGCCCGTCCACTAATCCCTATGACAATCCCCAGAATGGAGGATTCTCCTGAAATGGCGTCTCCCAACACTCAGACGCAGGTACAGTATCACAGCAAAACCATCAACCGCCACTACCGCTGCTGCTGAATTGTCAGTAAATAGTTTTATGTAATTTAACTCACTCGGGCACAGTGGAGACGGAGAAACAAGGCAAATGGAGTACAAAGAAGACAAATCTCTCAACGCTGTCAATGTCTGAGGTGCTCCGGCCATCCATCCTTCATCACACCTTCATTCACTATCTGTCTGGCCCTATCCCACCTGTATGACACCCAATCACTCTTCATCCCTCTATCCATCCATTACCCCTGTCACTTCATGCTTCCATTTCTCTGCCCCAAGGCCTGAGCTCCCCTCGCCTGTCACAGATGATACCGACTGAGTGGATTACTTGGAATATCATGAGGGATATATGGTCAAATATCTCCTCACAAAAGGTTATAATGTGCTCTCACTAATGTGGCATTAGGCAGTGCTATTCTGGTGGTTTCACATGATTGGGTAGAACCTTTTTTTAATAAAGCAAAGTTTATAAAGGGTTTATAAATTGAAACTAATGGCTCTACTAATGTGACCAAATCAGTTATTAATACTTTATAGTTTAAGGGCCTATTAGAAAATGAATACTTAATTAATAAAGGGTATGGGTATAAATATATAATTTTTGGTGCATATAAGTAGTCAAGCAACTCCTTAAACATATGTAAGAGCTAATTAAAAACACCAAGCAAATTATGTTTTTCTGACCTACGAGTGTCTCATCACATTTAATAGATTGAAATTTAAAGCTGCTGTAATTATTATTTTTTACAGTAAAATAGATCATATGACAAAAAATATAGCTTGTTCTGACAAACCTACAGAGAATTATCTGCCAACGTTGTAGTTCCTGTTATCTCTGTGGTGAGTTTTAGTATCTTTTAGCTAATTTTTTTTGTTTTTACATCCTGCGATTATAACTCTGTCTCAGTGCTCTCATCAACCTCGTTTCAAGCTGCAGTTTTCATTGATAAAGCTCTGATAAGCCCACTTTACACTATCTGTCCAGCACCAAACAGTGGACAGAAAGTTGGCAACTATCTGGTGATAAAGTTTATTGTACTGCCCCCAACAAATGAACGAGTGCAGGTTCAATAAATAGATTTCAGACCAGATACTGGAGGTAGTCACTTTTTTCCAGTGAAAAAGTGGTCAAGCCACCATGGTCCCTTAATGTCTTCCTGAAGAGTGTAGGAGGTAGTTAAAGACTAATTCCACTGGTACATCAGATACACACCTGCCCGACGGATTTTAACAATAGTCATAGTGTTGGTGAGGTTGTCTTTTTAGTTTCTCTTGGACATAAGAGAAAGTCAAATGTTCAAGTGAAATTACGACAATATTGATATTTACAGAGACGCTAAAGTCTGTGACAAGTGGGAGGCATTGACATAAAAATAGTTGAGGTTTAAATATCAAGATCCTGAACTCAAAAAAGCAAGAAAATCCGACACCCACCCAACACTCTCTCTCTCTCTCTCTCCTCACTGCTGCTTGGCAGTATAGACCAGCAAGCATCAATCTCAGTGCGGCTCTTCGTCCTCTTTCGTGATGGCAGGCTAACACAGACGCAGAGCTTGTCACAGGCTTTCACAGCACTGACCTGCCACGCCTCGCTCTCCTTCCTCCCATAAAAGGAGGAGTGAATGATGGGGAGGCAAGGCAGAGGCACATGAGGAAGAGCGAGGAGGAGGGAGGGAGTGACAGACTCATACAGCATGCATAACAACTGAGTACGCCTCTCCACATGCATCGCTCCATCTATCTCCCCCTGACTGTCTCATCTAAGGCCAATGGAGACACACACAAACACACACACACATCTTTACAAAGACACAGAAGGTTGGCTGCAAGCTGCTACACAAGCTGACTATCAAAGCTAGAAAAAAAATCACACCCTGATGCCTCAAATTCCAGCTCATATGAAGAAGGTCACACTGGCAGGACAGACTCAAGTGAATAAAGCCTCTTCCTATCTCAGGGACATTCCCAAAAAAGCACATGTGCTGACATGCGTGTCCACTTATAGAGCACCATATGCCTGCCACGTTCACACACTCTTAGTCCAACACACATGCACACACACCTTGACCTTTACAGGGAAACTCTCAAACTCAGAAATATTGGCTGTAAGGTTATCAGGCATTATGAAGAGTAAGCATATTAATAAACCACTGTTTTCAGCTCTATACTATTAGTGTCTCAATTGCCAATGGTTTTTAAAATAGCCAGTAAATGGTTGGCCTTGCAGATTACGCAGTATACACACTCAGTGGCAACTTTATTATATACATCTTTACAATACAACGCAATCCCATACTACTATTCTTCTATAACATCTATTTCAAGCGAATAATGGTGCTCAGGCACTTCAGTGTCACTAAACCAGGAAAACACAAATGTAATCTATATTTCGAAATAGGTTACAACAACAACCCTAGACAACAATCATATCAAAGTCTCTTAATCCATTCTCATATACTACCCAGCTCAACTTCTTAGTACTGGTTCATTCAAAAATAATGCTCTTCATTTGCACTGAAGCACACATCGATCACAATATCTTCACATTTAGTTGCGGCTCCATAAATATAAATAATGTAATTGAATCATCACTCCTCCTAATATGTGGTCTGTCAGGATTCTACAGTGTACTGTGTGTATCACAAATAATGGCCTTTCCTCTGTTTGATGAGTGCCGGGACAATGCCAGAATATCTCCAATGATCGCCGGCCAGGGCTGACTGTTTGATGAGGAGCGATTTGCAGGGCTCAGGGATGAGCTTCCTTAAAGCCCGCTGGGCTTCGACTTTGGTCAACACAGAGAAATCCCTGTTAAAATACTGTCCAAGAGAAAGGCCCAGCTCTCTCTGAAGTGATTACAACCTATCTGTTCTCTAAGCAAGGCCACTGAGACAAAGTCAAACAGGCCTGTGACCATGAGTGAGAGCTGAGTCTACATACGACACAGCTGTATATGAGCTCTTGTGATCAGACGAGGTGAGTAACACGTGCACCGGGGGAATGAACTTTGATCACGAGAGGATTAAGCTTGAAACTGAAATGTGTTACTCACACACACTGATCTGGCGGCAAGTTGAAAGAGGCTGTTCATTAATGAGTCAGTAACTGGTAGATGTGGCCAAACTGCACAGTGATGAAGATATCAAAGACGAAAGAAGACACAGGCATGCTGGACAAAATTCAAAACATCTGTATTTTATAGGTTTAGAGGCCAAAACATTGATTCAGTCACAGGGAATGAATTGTGGTAACAGGTGAGTAAAAATCTGATCATTTGATGATCTTTTTTACAGCCAGGTGGACACTGTGTGTTTTTATTCATCTTCTACGTTGTGTTCTCACACTACTCAAGTTAATCTGCCTTTCCACATGGCCAGAACCTGCGACTTTAATGTTCACACTGGATGGGTCAATGAAACAGCTGCTTTTTTTTTCAGTGACAATTCCAAGAAAGTTTAATGAAGACAACTGCTTCCTCTGATGAGCGAAATCCAGGACTAGTTTTGTGCAATTCTACCATGAATGGAAATGAAAAAAGAAAAATATGGAGCTGCAGATGGCTGGAAGATGCAGACAATATGGTCAGTTTGTTCTGTAGCACAGTTCAGTTTTATATCACAGTATAGCAGTATATCTATAGCCTCAGTCAAGAATACAGTTTTAGCCACAACATGTAAAACACTTCTCCAAAATATATTAAAAGCAGCATAACGGATATTTTGACAGCAGTCATGTGGGAAATCAAACTGTTAAACTGCTCAAACTCAAACAGACAGCTGATCACAATTTCTGACATGCCAGAAATCCTACCAATCTGACAGTCAGATCGTTGATTGTTCAGTTAATTAATGTTGTATCGTGACCCCCCATCAAACTGCATGTCAATTCACATCCGGTCGGCAGAAATTTAGCCCTGTTTTAGAATCAGGGCAACCAGGGCTAAAATCTGACTTAACCCATACAGTGTTTGGCCGGTTTAAGGCACAGGCTAAATAGTGAACATTAAAACGTGTTCAGATTTGTTTTCTTTCATTCAAACTGAGATATCTTTGTGCTGTATATAAACAATACTTTGTGCAAACACTGTTAAAATCAACAACAATGAGAACAGTAGTCTTTCACTTCCTGGTTGGTTGATCCTCTTCACTTGTCTTTTTGTAACAACAGTTTGGGCTTTAACATTCGAGACACTGTACAAGACAATACGCCACAAAATTGTATTTACAGGAAGTCAGAAGAGACTTTTCTTCCAGGCGAGAAGATCAGTTCTTTACGCGACTGACTCGCAGATTATGGTTTTAGCTTTCCACTATTGTAGACAAAGGGTATTTGGAATACGCAAGGTTTTAAGCTTGCAAACCATAAATATCCAGGTTTAGATCTTATAGAATTCATTCCATCCCCACCTACAGAGATAGCTCCTCTGTGGCATCAGTCCTGTAATTCTCTGGTCTGCCCAGCTGAGTAGCTCCCCTCAGCTATATCCAGCCAGGGGTTTCAGTCTGGATGCTGTAGGAGAGAAAGGAGGACTGGGAGGGAGGAGCAGTGAGGTCGCTGGTACAGGAGGACACAGCAGGGCCAGGACAGGAGAGCCTCTCCGCACCACTAGGACTGTTTGAGCCGTTTTCTCGGGGGACCCAGGAAGGGGCACTGAGCCGAGGCCAGGGAGTGATAGGCCTCTGCTACCAGGTGTGGGTGAGAGATCACCATGGACTTCCAGGCAGATGTCTCCATCACATCAGCTGCATGACTGAGAGAAAAGAGGGCAAAGACAGGAGATACAAAGAACAGGAAAGTGGGAAACATGTTAGAGAAACGAAATGGACGAGCAAATAAAATAAGAACAACAAATTAACAAGTTTCTCAAGTGCTTGGGATTATATGACTCCATCTGTGTGGAGTGCAGCTCTGAGACATTAAGGATTTGTCATACCAGCTGGCAGAGCTGTTATTTACTTTATATTTTTAAATATTTAACCCCAAAGGTCATTTTGAGAGAAATAACATCACACAAATAAAAGGCAACGTTCAATGATCATAAATATGTGGGCATGTGATGAGAATGTCTGTTGAGTCATAGTTTTGTCATATCATATAATATCATATCATATTCTTTATAACACTGGTTGTAAACTGTTTTGGCTTGTGACCTTTATAGCCAATGCCTACTTGCAATGCCTCTTCAAACACTACATACAACTATGAGCTGTGAGCTGTGAGATTCAACTGTATGTTCCCTTCACACATTGTTTCAATTTCAATAGTTTTTTAGTCAAGAGGAGGTCATCCTCCACAACATTTCACACGATTTGAGAAAAAAGTGATGAAAGAATAAACACGTCACATAATTTCTTCTATATTGTTAATTATTTCACAGCCCCTCAGATTTATTTTGCAACCCCGTAGGGACTGCCAGGCTTTAGAGTAATAATAACTTATACTACTTCTTTTTTTTTTTTTGCTTTTATTTTTTAAAACATTAAAATAGTACACATTTTTAGTACTACTACTACCACCACTAATAATAACAATACTAATACTGTATATGGTATACTGTATAATATTGTTAGTACTTTTACTTTTCATACTTAAAGTACACTTTGCAGATAATATTTTTGTATTTTCACTTTGGGGTATTTCTGCTTTTACTTTAAGGACCCGTGTTGGGAGTCAGAGGCATCTAGCTGTGAAGTTGCAGATTGCAACTAACTGAATACCGCTCACCTTCCAAGCCTGTGCGAGACACTACAATGGCTGTGAAACTTGTCTACAGGTATCTACACTAGGTGTTTGGTTTGTCTGTTTTGGGCTACTGTAGAAACATGACAGACTAAAAACTTACCGAAAACACAACAATTCTTATTTTCAGTTAATGAAAACATACCTATCAATATTATATTCAATTTCTGACAATAGTTGCTCCTAAATGCTACACATTGGACATTAAAGCAAACAATATGAATGCTTAGTGTCAGGTGATGGAATGTACATGAGGTGAATATTAATGAGAAACTTCACACATTAATCACTGATTACTAATTTATATTTTTTCCTATCTTTTTATTTTGTTTGCTATTAAAAATTAAGATATGAGAGTTCCTCTCTTAAAATCAATAGTATTTTTCTCTTTGGATTCCCTGTGGTTGTGCAGATGTAGAGCCTCAGCGATAGTGATTAACGAACTAATGGAAGCCAGAAAGTGAAAACTATTTTGGATAACTCTTGTAATTAATTGCTGATGAGTTTTACTCGCGGTCATCATCTCCCACATATGTGAGTTTCCACCAGCAGACCCTGTGGCAGTCTTCAACCCCCTGACACCCTCAGGGTGCTGGGCTGCACTATCACGCACACCGCTGTGTGGCCTTTAATGACATTTTTCATGTTTTA